CTTGGCAAGATTAGCAAACTTAGGCATGACATGCAAGCAACAAACGCTGACACTACATATCCAAGTATATCTGACCAAATTATGAAAGACGAGAATTGTAATTTTTAATTCTGTAAAGTGAGTGTGGAAGAGGTGAAAAATTATTGTTTTCTATCAACAATGACAAGCCACCAGGGGTCTGAGAACTTGGATGGAAAATTAGTGAGGATAATAGCAGACGATACTGCCACTCCTATTTGCCATATCTTCAATTTAAGCCTACTAAAAAGTGTGTGCCCTCAGGCCTGGAGGGAAGCAAAAGTCATTCCGCTACCTAAGAATAGTAAAGCCCCTTTAGTGGCTCAAATAGCCGACCAATCAGCCTGTTACCAACCCATAGTAAAGTTTTGGAAAAAATGGTGTTTGACCAGATACAATGCTATTTTACAGTAAACAAATTGACAACAGACTTTCAGCATGCTCATAGGGAAGGACATTCAACAAGCACAGCACTTACACAAATGACTGATGATTGGCTGAGAGAAATTGATGATAAAAAGATGGTGGAGGCTGTTTTGTTAGACTTTAGTGCACCTTTTGACATTATCGATCATAGTCTGCTGTTGGGAAAACGTATGTGTTATGGCTTTACACCCCCTGCTATATTGTGGATAAAGAGTTACCTGTTTAACAGAACACAGAGGGTGTTCTTTAATGGAAGCCTCTCCAACATAATCCAGGTAGAATCAGGAATTCCCCAGGGCAGCTGTCTAGGCCCCTTACTTTTTTCAATCATTACTAACGACATGTCTATGTATGCGGATGACTCAACACTACACACGTCAGCTACTACAGCGACTGAAATAACTGGAACACTTAACAAAGAGCTGCAGTTAGTTTCAGAATGGGTGGCAAGGAATAGGTTAGTCCTAAATATTCCAAAAACGAAAAGCATTGTATTTGGGACAGATCATTCACTAAACCCTAAACCTTAACTAAATATTGTAATAATATGGAAATTGAGCAAGTTGAGGTGACTAAACTGCTTGGAGTAACCCTGGATTGTAAACTGTCATGGTCAAAACATATTGATTAAACAGTAGCTAAGATGGGAAGAAGTCTGTCCATAAGAAAGCGCAACTCTACCTTCTTAACAGCACTATCAACAAGGCAGGTCCTACAGGCTCTAGTTTTGTCGCACCTGGACTACTGTTCAGTGCAATTGGCTCAGAACAGGGCAGCATGGCTGGCCCTTGGATGTACACAGAGAGCAAACAATAATGTGCATGTCAATCTCTCCTGGCTTAAAGTGGAGGAGAGATTGACTTCATCACTACTTGTATTTGTGAGAGGTATTGACATGTTGAAAGCACTGAGCTGTCTGTTTAAATGACTAGCACACAGCTCAGACACCCATGCATACCCCAAAAGACATGCCACTAGAGGTCTCTTCATAGTCCCCAAGTCCAGAACAGACTATGGGAGGCGCATAGTACTACATAGATCTATGACTACATGGAACTGTATTCCACATCAGGTAACTGAGGCAAGCAGTAGAATCAGATTTTTTTTTTTTTATAAAAAATTGCACCTTATGGAACAGTGGGGACTGTGAAGCAACACAAACATAGGCGCAGACACATGATAACATATGCACTATACACACACACGTACACATGGATTTTGTGTTGTAGATATGTGGTAGTGAAGTATGGGCCTGTTATGAATGTATTGTAATGTTTTAAAAATTGTATAACTGCCCTAATTTTGCCGGACCCCAGGAAGAGTAGCTGCTGCCTTGGCAACAGCTAACGGGGATCCATAATAAATACAAATACAAATTGTTGGTGTCCATTGTTGTTCCATTTGTCCAGTGAGCACAGAGATACCTCTCCCACTCTGTCTGGGCAAGGTGACAGGAAGTTGTAGGGTTATTTTATGCTAATTTATGCAACTTGATATAGTCATAGTTGATACAAGTTTTGAAATAATGTTTTATTAGGACAGCCTGAACATGAGATATTTGGTTTGGTGTCTCTAGCTTGAAAGGTTCAAGAGTTATTGTTGGGACCGTTATATTATGCAAATGTATGGACATTTATATAGTTATAACATAAAAAATATATCATATGAAGTTAGGATAGCCTGAATATGTTAATGTTGGTTTGGTGTCTCTAGCTTAAACAGTTGAAAAGTTACTGTTGGTGAGTTATTTATGCAAATGTATATAATTAAAGTTGATAACCATTTTAAATACTTTTAATTTAGGATTACCTGAACATCAGAAAGTTGGTTTGGTGTCTCTAGCTGGAATGGTTCAAGAGTTACTGTTTGTGAGTTGTATTATGCAAATTATAGTTGTTACAAGTTTTTAGGAATTTGAAGTTAGGATAGTATGACCATGTGAAAGTTTGTTTGGTGTCTCTAGCTTGAATGGTTCAAGAGTTACTGTTGGTGAGTTACACTACCGTTCAAAAGTTTGGGGTCACTTAGAAATGTAATTTTTTTCGAAAGAAAAAGCCATTTTTTTATCCATTAAAATAACATCAAATTGATCAGAAATACAGTGTAGACATTGTTAATGTTGTAAATGGCTATTGTTGCTGGAAACGGCAGATTTTTTTATGGAATATCTACATAGGTGTACAGAGGCCCATTATCAGCAACCATCAGTCCTGTGTTCCAATGGCACGTTGTGTTTGCTAATCCAAGTTTATCATTTTAAAAGGCTAATTGATTATTAGAAAACCCGTTTGCAATTATGTGTGTGTATACGTTCTATACACACACGTACACATGGATTTTGTGTTGTAGATATGTGATAGTGGATTATGGGCCTGAGGGGGCACACTTTATGTTGTAAATTCTGTAATGAATGTATTGTAATGTTTTAAAAATTAATTTTGTTGGACCCCAGGAAGAGCTAATGGGTACAAATATCTACCTCAAATACCTTGTAACCCTGCACACTGATCTGGAACTGGTACTCCTTGTATATAGCTTTATTCTTGGGTATTTTATTCCTCGTCAAACATTAAAGGAACAGTTGTCTCCATGTCTCGTCCGAACCTGGTAGGAGTACTCGGGTGGGGGTCCCGCGGAGTTCATCCCATTGGCTGGGGGAGGAGGGTAGGCATAGGCCTCATTGGCCATATATTTTCCAGAGAATCAACCAATTTTCCTTCCTGAGGAAATTGCAAGAAATTCTCGGGCTTCCCGGTATTCCCGTTCAAACCGAAAGTGCTATTAAAAGCATATAATACCATTAAATAAAATCTGACATGATTATACCACTCTAAATGGAGAAATATGCACAATCTAAAGGGTTCTTTATGTATTTGTTGCAATTTAATCAACAATGTTCCCTCAAAGTCACCACACCATTTCATTGATGTAGCCTAGTTTTAACAGGCCTATGAAGCACTGATGGCCGACGGGTCAAATATGAGGTTAATAAAGTAAAAATTAATATTTTTAGCCTACCTTTGAAAGATGCATTTTGGTCCTTTTCTCTCCCCTTGCACCTGGCTATCGAGGGAATTTGGGAAGGTTGTGGCTGTTTATACTTCACTTCTTGTTATGATTTTGTCAGAGGAAACTAATCGGAATCTCCAATAATCAAACAGTTAAGCGGAGATTCAACAATGGATAGCGCCGCAGTTGATCAATTGCCCGTGAATCTAAACCCGCATTTAATATGCCATTCTAAGGTAGGCTATATTTTACATAAAATCTTATGAGGCCTACTTACTGCATCTGTTTTCTAGCAATAAAGTAAATGATCATCTCTGAAGTCACAGCATAAATGAAACGTGAGACTTTGGACTACACAAACGGACTATATATTCAAAGTAAATAAACTGCCATTATTACTTTTATTCAATACAAAATACAGTTCTCGCATTATTTTTCAACAGGAAAAACACTTTGTCAGAAACTAAGTAATTGACACTGACTGATTCCATGTAGCAAACAAAATCATTTGCATAGGCCATACCCGTTTTAACGTGTTGCTTCAAAACAGGCTCAATTCAGGTCGGATTTGCAGTCGGCCTCGTTGGCATAAATGAGTAAAGCTTTGCCACAGACCTTTTGTATTAAAGCAGGTAGGCCTACCGGTAGCTCAAAAGTTGGAGTCAATTTTGTTACTGTATTTCAAGGTTGCGTGTACATGCACTTTGAATTCATGGCGACTAAAAACGGTAGGCTACGACGCACAAACCCTAGGCGCTACAAGCAACTCTGGGAGAGCTAGGACCAGATCGCAGCCTGCCAGCTAAGACAGGTTAACATTGCCTTTAACCTAAAAGTTTGGATTTTTACTGGCATATGCAGACCAACCCCCAAAACGATTGGCTAATGATATGAGAGCTGGTGTTACATGTAAGAATTCACGAGTAGGAAACCAATTGTCCGTAGACTCAAGACTAGTAGACACTCAGCAGAGTAATTTAAATGCAATTTGACAACATTCAGCACTGACACCATTAACCCCAATTCTAGCAACATCCTCATTTACAGACGTGATATGCACCAACCCCAAGCGCTCAGTTCTAAAAACTACATCAGGTTAAATTGACCTAGAACCCATCACATCATTTGATGCTACTAGCATAAGCAAATGTAGCTTAAGAAAGTCCAATGGTAATTTAAACACAAATTGGTCGAAGTAGTAATATATTGCTGATGCCAAAGCATGTTTACAATGCAATACAACTGTTTTGCCATCACCCCAGTTACTAAAGTCAGGTCATTGAACCTCCAAAACAAAACTAAGGACACAAGTATTAAAGTTACTGTTTAATTGAGGCAAAACACACAAACGCAGTTAAACACAACCTGGACTAGAGTACCCATGTATGTCCCACTTCAGATATCCATGTTTGTGGTCAACGGGGTCTCAGATGCAGAGGTGAACTGTTCCTCAATGGCATGGTCAGTAACAGAAGGCGCTTGGTCTACAGACTCGTCCCCACTTGTGCTAGAGTATAAATTAACCACAATCAGTAGTTCTTGTGGCTTCAGTAGCCAGTTGTGGCGTCGTCGGACGTGCCGGTTGTGGCTTCTGAAGCGGCGTCGTCGGACGTGCCAGTTGTGGCTTCTGAAGCGGCGTCGTCGGACGTGCCAGTTGTGGCTTCTGAAGCGGCGTCGTCGGACGTGCCAGTTGTGGCTTCTGAAGCGGCGTCGTCGGACGTGCCAGTTGTGGCTTCTGAAGCGGCGTCGTCGGACGTGCCAGTTGTGGCTTCTGAAGCGGCGTCGTCGGACGTGCCAGTTGTGGCTTCTGAAGCGGCGTCGTCGGACGTGCCAGTTGTGGCTTCTGAAGCGGCGTCGTCGGACGTGCCAGTTGTGGCTTCTGAAGCGGCGTCGTCGGACGTGCCAGTTGTGGCTTCTGAAGCGGCGTCGTCGGACGTGCCAGTTGTGGCTTCTGAAGCGGCGTCGTCGGACGTGCCAGTTGTGGCTTCTGAAGCGGCGTCGTCGGACGTGCCAGTTGTGGCTTCTGAAGCGGCGTCGTCGGACGTGCCAGTTGTGGCTTCTGAAGCGGCGTCGTCGGACGTGCCAGTTGTGGCTTCTGAAGCGGCGTCGTCGGACGTGCCAGTTGTGGCTTCTGAAGCGGCGTCGTCGGACGTGCCAGTTGTGGCTTCTGAAGCGGCGTCGTCGGACGTGCCAGTTGTGGCTTCTGAAGCGGCGTCGTCGGACGTGCCAGTTGTGGCTTCTGAAGCGGCGTCGTCGGACGTGCCAGTTGTGGCTTCTGAAGCGGCGTCGTCGGACGTGCCAGTTGTGGCTTCTGAAGCGGCGTCGTCGGACGTGCCAGTTGTGGCTTCTGAAGCGGTTGTGGCAGTAGGAGAGTTTCCATAGTCATCAGACCAGCGTCTCATCTTCTCAGCAGAGGCCAGGTCATCGTTTGCCAGAGAGCTACCATAGTTTGGAGAGTCTTGGGATGCTACTTCATTTGTCTCCAAATACTCTAGAGAAAAAGAGAAGAGGAACAGTTGGGTGTTCTACACGGTCTAGGCCAAATTGCTATTTGAATGTTCAGCAACATTGCACCCCACTGAACCCGACGTAGTTCTAAACGAATGTTGCAGGCCTAACATTTTCTGGCTTCTTTAGCATCAGACCCTATGGATCGGAGCATATGCAATGGAGACGTCATTTGATGACAGCTCTGAAAAACGTAGGTTCAGGTACACAAGCAAATTTTCAAAATCAACAGCAAAGGGTTTGATAACTTCTGGTTTAAAAAAAGATTCTAAACATTTGTTATTTAGACTGGGTTACTCTACGGTGTTGAATTAGTTTAAAACACAGCAGCAAAGAACATTGCTAGAAGGGATGGGATAACATAGGGGAAGAAACGCTTACCTCCAAGTCTCCTCTGCAGAGAGACTTGATCTTGTTTCTGGGACTTGCCAACAGGGGAACAAGAAACTGAGGAGAAAGAGTTGACAGAAGTTGAGTTGACACAAAATAGCTACATATATTTAATAGCAGTGAACAAAAAAGATGACCAACGTGGAAGAAACAGACAGTCAAATTTGAATCTCCAACTTACAAAGTTCAACATGTTTCCCAAACAAAACCCTTCAATCCAAATAAAACATTAGTGAACCAACCTTTGAAGACCCCCACAGTCAGCACAAAGAGCAGAAATTCTCTCACACCGCCCATGATTATGAGAATAGTCTTTATTATCAACAAGTAATGTCATCCCGTGGCCTGTATGAGGCTTATATAGGCCACTAATGACCGTTTACCAGACAAACATGACTTAACGATCAATTAACATGCTTGATTGAGTTGAAACATTCAGATAGAAATAGACCATGTAGAACAGATGTTTCTTTGGAGGGCAGGCAATCTTTTCTACTCTATATATTGCATTTATATCTGCTATGTTTTACCCTTCTGGTCTCAGATCAGCAGTAGAAAGAAGTAGGCCTAATTATTTTAGGTATAATCTTCAAAGATTTTCGGGGGAAATAAACACTGTACCCAAATCCACTTTTTATTATGATCCTGGGAAATGGGTAGGCCTCCACCATATTGTCCTTCACAGTTTTACACCTGTGTTATATTCGTTTATTTACATAGATCACATACATAAATATATATGTTAGCTGTTAGTAGCTTTGGGATCAAATTTTCATATTGTATTGTTACTAACCATATATCATATTTTCCTCATTTGCTCTGTAGCAGACTCGGCTGGTGGAGATTCGTCATATGAAGGACAATCAAGTGGATGTGACCCCTAACCTGCAGGACAGGCTCATCGGGGTGACAGACATCCTGTAACGGATCTCCAAGCTAGTGTCTGAGGACCTGGAGAAGGCTGTGTCTACAGCTGTGGGGCAGGACAAGCAAGGTAACCTAACCTCACCTAACCTCACTGTATGAAGGATTTTATTTTTATGTATAGTCATCTCCAATCTGTTAAAATATATGTCTCTGTATTTCTCGCCCAATCTCTCTCCTCTTCCCCATCCCCTTCACTAGGTTCTCCCCAGGATAAGCACACCATCCTGGCTGTGGTCCCCAGTCCTGCTGCTCCATGACACCTAGCCAGAAAGCAGGGCCTCAGTGAATGTATGTGGTTGTTCCTTACTTTAACATAAAACTCTCATAGATATTAACACAGTAACTGTAAATAATAACAACTATTCTGGGCTATATAATTAGTAACCTGAATGATCTATCACCTATCCGTTGTTTTAGAGCTAATTTAGACTAATAAGCTGTACACCTAAATGTCTTCTCCCCTGCTCCCTTCCCCCCTCCTCCTCCTACCCTGACCTTTGACCCTCGCACGGTCAACGGTCACCTGCTCCTCTCCAGGGAGAACCTACGGGTGCCTCTTCCCACCATAATCTTTGACCCCTACATCTCTCCCCCAGGTGACCTACGAGGGCATCCCCAGGAAGGAAAAGGGGAAACAGTGTATGGTGGGAATGAACGATCTTCCCTGGAGCCTCCAGCTGGATGAGTGCCAGTTGAGCGCCTGGCACAATGGGTGCCGGGAAACGATGGCTGGCCACTCCCACCACTCCCACGCGGCTGCATGCCTTCCACTGTGCCTTCACTCAGGAGCTGTTCCCTGCCTGTTGGATAGGGGCGTCAGCATCACCCTCTGCTTGCCACGATGACAACACGAAAGGGAATGACCGTGACCTAACAATCTCATATGGGATTAGTCTCCATAACCATAGACTTCGATAGACATCGCATCATTGTATCTGTCCCATTATGGTGTCTGCAAGAGCACAGGCAGCGCCATTGAGGCCATCTCCATTTTGAAGTAGTCCATTGTCATTTTCTTCTTCTACTGCTTCTATGAGTTGGCAAACAAACTGAAAGGGTGCACACTGCCACCTAGAGTGTGTTTGAACAGGTATAAAGCCAAGGTTGGCGATTTACTGCCACCTGCAGTTATGGCATTTTTTCTCATGAGTATAATTCATTGGCTGATCCCCCGTGGTGACCTGGATGGAATTCTGTGATCATTCCTTAACCTATAGGAAGTCCCACCCCATCCCCCCTTTTGCCCTCAGAAAAGCCTAAATTTGTCGGGGCATGGACTCTACAGGGATACTGGCCCATGTTAACTCCAATGCTTTCCACAGTTGTGTCAAGTTGGCTGGGTGTCCTTTGGGTGGTGGACAATTCTTGATACACACGGGAAACCCCAGCAGTGTTACAGTTCTTGACACAAACCAGTGTGCCTGCCACCTAATAACATACCCCGTTCATAGGCACTTAAATGTTTTGTCTTGCCCATTCACTCTCTGAATGGCACACATACACATACACAATCCATGTCTCAATTGTCTCAAGGCTTAACACTCCTTCTTTAACCTGTCTCCTCCCCTTCATCTACACTGATTGAAGTGGATTTAACAAGTGACATCAATAAGGGATCATAGCTTTCACCTGGATTCACCTGGTCAGTCTATGTCATGGAAAGAGTTCTTCATGTTTTGTATACTCAGTGTATATAAAGATGATATCTCTATCATTCTCTATGGGCTAGGTAGAGCAAGAACCATATTGTCTATACTTGTGTCACTAACCTTGGTCTAGGGGAGTAATTACATATATAGAGGGAAGCGAGCTAGTTATTTCGATTGAATCCCAGCCCCTGTTCCAGTTGGATACTAGGACACTGATGCCTGGATGGGTGAAAGCAATATGGCCTTCCATTATGCTCCGTGGAGACTTCTAAGATCAGTTAGTTTGGGAAAGTACTAGGATGTATGTAGGAAAGTAAGTCATTTAGGCGTATTACGGAACTATCCTGTGTATGTGAGACCTTTCCTTCTCCGACTGTAGTCTGCAACACCCATTTTTCCCATAGTGAGATAATTTAGCCAAGTCAGCATTTTAGAAACAAAATCCTTAACCTGGTGAGACCCCAGGTTGCGAAAATGCAACAGGCCCTCAAACTCATGTCAAACACTACATAGTTTATCTCCTTAGACCCGTATGTACACTGAACAAAAATATAAACGCAACATGTAAAGTGTTGGTCAAGGATTATTTATTTTTTTATTCCTTGATGTGATGTGGTGGGTGAGTGAGTGTGTTCTAGAATGTTCAGAAGAGTGACATTCAGGACATGACATAATAGGCCAACTTCTCTATACACACACACACACACACACACACACACACACACACACACAGGCAGTAGCAGTAGTAGCATATAGCCAAGATAATCTTTCCATGTACACTGAACAAAAACATATTGTAAACGCAACATGCAAACATTTAAAAGATTTTACTGAGTTACAGTTCATATAAGGAAATCAGTCAATTTAAATACATAAATTAGGCCCTAATCTAATCTGTGGCGTTGTGTTGTGTGACAAAACTGCACATTTTAGAGTGGTATTTTATTGTCCCCAGCACAAGGTGCACCTCTGTATTGATCATGCTGTTTAATCAGCTTCTTGATATGCCACACCTGTCAGGTGGATGTATTATCTTGGCAAAGGAGAAATGCTCACTAACAGGGATGTGAACACATTTGTGCACTAATTTTAAGATAAATAATATTTTTGTGCGTATGGAACATTTCTGGGATCTTTTGTTTCAGCTCATGAAAAATGGGACCAACACTTTACGTGTTGCGTTCATATTTTTGTTCAGTATAGTTAGTTGGACTAGGATCAGGGATTCGCTCCTATACTACCTAGACATTATGGTCCCTATCAACACAAAGTTCAAGTTTCATATTACACCATATTCCCTATATACAAGGGTGACATTTCAGATTTGTACCATAAGTCAAACTTCACCAACTCTTATGTATTTAAAAACTGTTTTTTAAGGTTAATTCAGGCTAGTCTCTTTGCAATAACATTTATTTTTCAACAGAGACCTGGTCATATGATCGACTGCTACCCTCTCATATTTAAGTCGTCACATTAAAAACCTGTACAGACAAATAATAAATAAACAAATAATAGTGTCCAGTACAGGCCGTGAGAAGGAGGGGTGGGAGCTGAGATACAGGCGCTCTTCTTGTCTTCAGCAGGGGAGTAGGGTGGAGGTTTGTCCTGGAGAAGATGTTTTCATACATTCCCCTAATTTATTTGGACAGTGAAGCTAAGACTTTTAATTTGTCTCTATACTCCAGCATTTTGGATCTGAGATCAAGTGTTTCATGTGAGGCGACAGTACAGAATGTCACCTTTTATTTGAGGGTATTTTCATTCATATCTGTTTTAGAAATGAAAGCATTTTATGTATCTAGTCCCCCCATTTGAATGTATCATAATTAATTGGACAAATCCAATTATAGTGAGTAGTCAAACGTTTAGTGTCAAAAGTTTAGTATTTGGTCCCATATTCCTAGCACGCAATGACAACATCAAGCTTGTGACCAATATTCCCTCTAATCTATTTTAGCACTGAGCAAATTTCAGGTCGGCTGAGCGCAAACTTGAACGTTTTGAAAATTCTGTTCAACTTCCAACGAGTGTTAACTGTGAACACTGAGGCTGTGCCCGCTTTAACTTACTGTTTTAACAGTGGCCAAGTAGGCTACTATGGCTATTTGATCATAATGTAGGCCTACTGTCAAAAACAATGGAGAAAATGCATCCCATAACATTTAACATGGAAATAGCTGTTCAATCATTCAGCCTACAGAAGCAGCCAATGTGTGGTGTTCAATGTAGGCCTACATTCCATGAGACTTTTGAAAAAAACATGCAGGGCTTGACATTAACCTCTATGAGATCGGTGTCCCGTATACGGGACGGTTGAATTAACGTGCGCTAATGTGATTAGCATGACTGTTGTAAGAATCAGCAAACTTTCCAGGACATAGACATCTATCATATGGGCAGAAAGCTTAAATTCCTGTTAATCTAACTGCACTGTCCAATTTACAGTAGCTATTACAGTGAAAGAATACCATGTTATTGTTTGAGGAGAGTGCACAACAAATGTATCACGGCAACTGGTTTGATCAATTCACCTCTGAAGGTAAATAATGTACTTACATTCAGTAATCTTGCTCTGTTTTGTCATCCTAAGGGTCTCAGAGATAAAATGTAGCATAGTTTTGTTTGATAAAATCAATTTTTATATTCAAATGTAGGAACTGGGTTCTACAGTTTGAACCCCTGCTGTAATAATAATAATTAGTCATTTAGCAGACGCTC